GTGTTCATATTGTAATCTGTTGAGGCGAATAAATGAAATTGAATTGAATTACAATATTATGCGGATGACTATGCTTTAATTTTTTGCAAATAAAAATCTTGACAAAGTTAAAGAAAATTTAAGTGAAAACCTAGAACGGCTGTCTCTTATACACATCTAGATGTGTATAAGAGACAGGTATTCATATATATTAATATTTGTATATGTATAGGCCTATATATATAATAATTATTATTATTGCAATTAAATAACGGCAAGCTGAAAATTATGCCTGGACTGAAGTTTTTACCCGTACCCATCCCAAATACTTGCTGAAAAAATTGCTATACTTTAAATAATTATGATAATTTAATACAGGATTATTTACGATACGGTAACAACTGTTTGTTCTTTTGTTTATTAAACGGTCACTTACGACTACGAATAAAAACTGAAAATTGTAAATATTGTAAAGGGAATTATATATAAAAGACGTCAGTCACCCATTGCGAATACCAATACTGTATACAAGTCCTGGATGCCGTCAGCAGGCTTATGTCACGATTCTTAACTCTGGCCTAATTTACTTTCCTTCAGGCGCCCCTAAAATCACGGTCAAGTTGTTATAAAACACCTAAAACCAGTTCCTGTATGAATTTTGAATTTAATTATGACAGATAGAGCATTAAATTATGGCCAATGCCTAGTAAAACAGACCACATTGTAGGCCTATGAGTCCTATAAATAAAGTGGTGCAATGTCAACAGAAATTGTAGGTTATAATTATAATCTTAGCAAGCTTAATAAATATGTTAAATAATAAATTACGGCGGCAGTGCCGATAGAAAACAGAAGCTTATTTGGCACTGCGGCAGTGCCGATAGAAGGCAGCACCTATTTCGCACTGCTGCTCAGCGGCAGTGCCGATAGAAAAGACAAGCTTTTTCGGCACTGCGGCAGTGCCGATAGAGAACAGGAGCTTATTTGGCACTGCGGCAGTGCCGATAGAAGACAGCACCTATTTGGCACTGCGGCAGCGGCAGTGCCGATAGAAAACAGAAGCTTTTTTGGCACTGCGGCAGTGCCGATAGAAAACAGGAGCTTATTTGGCACTGCGGCAGTGCCGATAGAAAACAGGAGCTTATTTGGCACTGCGGCAGTGCCGATAGAAACCAGCAGCCTTTTTCCGCACTGCGGCAGTGCCGATAGCCTCAGCAACAACTAGAGTGCTGACAAGATGGCGGAGCAATGCAGAGTTGTGTATGTGTACCATCCAAGATGGCTGCCGTAAGAAAGCGCCACCTTCGGGCTTAGTATACATATTATTACCATAAATAAGCCCTCTGACTGAATATTATTTCATTAATGATAATTAGTATTGATAATGACAAATTATTAAACTGTCGTAGCCAAAAAGAGGCCAAGTAGAGCATCTTATTCAAATATTAAAAAGAATTAAAATCGTGTACATTACACCCATACACCGCAACGCTCGAGCTTCAAAATACGGGTTACTAGCTGTACTGAACTTTCTGTGTAAATTGAGAGCGCAATTGAAAATGATTAGTGCTCAGGGGAAATTTGATTGGCTGAATCTATGGCAGCCATCTTGGATGGTACACACACATCTCTGCGTATTTCGAACATCGAATACATTGCTGTTAGCGCTCTAGTATTCTTATTATATCTCTATGGTTAAGTGTCAGTGGTTGAACGCTGTCGATGTCGTTCTTATGGTAAGCGCGTAATCATTACGCGACGGCACGTGACACTAGGCACGCGACAAACAC